TGTTGTAAGTCTTCATAGAATTGGTCAATTTCAGTCTCTTCAGCATGGGTGGTTTATGCATAAACGTGGATTACTGTGATGTTGAAAGGTCTGCCTTGGATTTGTCTTGAAATCATTCTCTCATTTTTGAGATTGTATCCCAGTACAGGTTTTCCCATTCTTTTGTTGACTGTGAGGGCTACTCCATTTCTTCTATAGGATTCTTGCCCACAATGGTAGATATGATAATCGTCTGAATTGAATTTGCTCATTCCCATCCATTTTAGTTCACTGATGCCCAGGATGTCAATGTTTATTCTTGTCATCTCCTGTTTGACCACATCCAGTTTACCAAGGTTTCTAGATCTTACATTCCAGGTTCCTATGCAGTATTTTTCTTTGCAGCATCAGACTTTCCTTTCACTCCCAGGCACGTCCACAGCTGAGCGTCCTTTTGGCTTTGGCCCAACCACTTCATTAGCTCTGGAGCTACTTGTCCTTGTCCTCCGCTCTTCCTCAATAGCATGTTGGATACCTTCCGACCTGAGGGGCTCATCTTCCAGCGTCATATCTTTTAGCCTTTTGTTTCTGTCCATGGGGTTTTCTTGGCAAAGATACTGGAGCGACTTGCTAATTGCTGCTCCAGGTGGATCGCGTTTAGTCAGAACTCCCCACTATGACCTCTCTGTCTTGGGTGTCCCTGCACGGCATAGCCCATAGCTTCTCTGAATTATTCAAGCCCCTTCACCACGACAAGGCAGCAATCTGTGAAGGGGAACCCTGACTTCTACCCACTTCTTTTTCTGGTTATCATTTCAGCATCGGAGTGGTATGTAGACTTTATGTTTGGATTAGTAAATTCAGAATATCCCAGAAAATGGGCAAAAATAACTTTAAGAACCTTGACCTGTGGGGATTTTTCTACCATCATGTGAGCACAATTTGTTTCCAGGCAGATAATATGCCTTTCTCATTAAATTTACATGCTTATTACTTCAGTGTTAATCATTGCTACTTTAAGTCTCATTGATTTCAACTGATTAAGTATGAATAACATGAAGTTGATCCCATTGTTTGCGATCTGGTTAGGATTAGTAATGCAATTCTATGCATGTTTTCCGAGAGGGAAGTACCACTAAGTTAAATGGACCATAAACCCAGATAGGAGTGAAATAGGATTGGAGCTTAAGTATTCCAGTCAACTTGCATTTTAATGACTGACCAGGCTGTCAAGTAACAGTTACTGAAAGCTAAAATGCTATCAAACTCCAGATTTGCCAGACTCCACCACATTCTGCCATAGGTCTCTTGCTGTCCAACAGCCAACACTTCTGAAACTCAAAGCTTGCAACTCTGCTTCAGGTCCTTTCACCTACCATGTGGAATGAAACATGGAGAAAAGCAGAGATCACAGATGAATTTATCTTTGTGGTGATACAAAACATTGCATTCACCTACTGTGTGTTTTACAGTGAAGAATGTACCTAGAAATCTATTAAGGGTATGTTTGAGTTGGTGCTTAAATATGGGAGGTGCCCATCTTATTGGGGTATTCAAGTTGGACTGGCAAAGCACTGAAAGCAGCAGGCATGTTTTCTTCCCTGCCCCGCTTGTGAACATGTTCATTGCTATCTCTCCTCAGTTAATATAACTGGTATTTGTCAAGCTATTATTTTAAAATTCTTGTTATAAATCTTACAGTAGAATTTTTGATATAATATATAGTGTCCTAATGGGACGTGGTGGTGCTGCGGGTTAAACCGCAGAAGCCTCTGTGCTGCAAGGTCAGAAGACCAGCAGTCGTAAGATCGAATCCACGTGACGGAGTGAGCTCCCGTCGCTTGTCCCAGCTCCTGCCAACCTAGCAGTTTGAAAACATGCAAATGTGAGTAGACAAATAGGTACCACCATGGTGGGAAGGTAACGGCACTCCGTGTCTAGTCGCGCTGGCCACGTGACCACGGAAACTGTCTACGGACAAACACTGGCTCTACGGCTTGCAGATGGTTCTATGGACAAACACTGGTTCTACGGCTTGCAGACGGTGATGAGCACTGCACCCTGGAATCAGACACGACTGGACTAAATGTCAAGGGGAACCTTTACCTTATTTAGTGTCCCGGCATTATTATCAATTACTCTTCATTTTATTTGTAAAAATGCAAATGAATCATATTATCTTTATATTTAAGCTG